TCGGCTTTCATTACTGGATGGAGGAGGGGCTCAGAACAGTATGTATGTATGTATGTATGTATGTATGTATGTATGTATGTATGTATGTATGTATAATTTTACTACCGGTAAAATTCTGGCAAATTGGTCCGAACCAGTAGCACATCACCCCTGGCAAGGACTCCCTCTGAGGAGCCTCCTTCCATTCCTGCCTCCGAGCGGAAACCTTTTCATCGCATCCCCTACCTGCCTTTGAAGAAAGCCACGTAGAAAGGCGACGAATAGAAGTTCACAAACTGGAAAATGAAAACTTTGAAGGTGAAGGCATCCTCGTGCTGTGTTTGAGTCCGGTGCATTTCTGCCAAGGGAAGCAAGAGTGGTGGATGGTTGGATGCCAACAGAATCAGCCGGAGTCAGAGATGGGTTCCAGATCCCATCACAACTGGTATGCTGTGATGGGGCCAGGCATCCACCTCGGGCACATGCGCTGCGCAAGCATGCGCACGCCACCACCCTGTGATACCCCAACTGCTCGGCGGAGGTCGTGCAGGCACCGTATGCTGTGTGTGTGTGTGTGCAAATGGCCCAGTTGGCTTAAAAACAGGTAAGGAATGAGAGCGGGTGGGTGGGCCGAATAAGCCACCATTCTGGTATGGTGGCCGCTGCTCCCAGTTGCTACTGGTTCACCCATACCAGGGCGTACCTCCCAGAACCCACCACTGGCCAGAGTTCTGATCGGTTCCTTTTCCAACAAGAGGAAAGCCCAATAATCAGTGGCAAAAGTTCCAATTCTGTGAAATGTTGGAGGTTTTTTTTTTTGCACAATTTCCCAAGTGATGTGAAAGAAGGTTTCTGAGTTTTATAAAAGCAAAACATCCTGGGCTAATTGACTACCTGTGGTGAAGAACTTCCACTGGACTTCCACTCACCCCATCTGGTAAGTTTCTCAGCCAAGGAAGTGTAGACCTGACTCATGAGAAGGATGAGCACCAAGTTCACCATGGAGCTGCTGATATTCGCAATGTTACCTGCCTGCAGGAAGAGAGGGAAAGAGGCCCCATATCACCCCCTTTCTCTTCCCTCAACACCTCCTTCCCAGAGGGTTAATCCTCAAAGACTTTTAAAGCACATATGTGCTAGTCCTTCCCAACTCTAGGGGGCGGTGCTCATCTCTGTTTCAAAGCCGAAAAGCCAGCGCTGTCCGAAGATGTCTCCGTGGTCATGTGGCCGGCATGACTCAACGCCGAAGGCGCCCGGAACACTCTTACTTTCCCACCAAAGGTGGTTCCTATTTTTCCACTTGCATTTTTTTAACGTGCTTTTGAACTGCTAGGTTGGCAGAAGCTGGGACAAATCACAGGAGCTCACTCCGTTATGCGGCGCTAGGGATTCGAATTGCCAAACTGCCAACCGTCTGACAAGCTCAGCGTCTTAGCCATTGAGCCACCACGTCCCAGAGAGCAATACAGATGTATAAATCAAAGAACTGGCCTTAAACGACACGGAGCCTGGAGGCTTTCAAGATAATCTTTACACAGAAAGTAATTTCAGATTACCATAATTTATAACCAGAAGGCTGGAAGGCAGGTTAAAGGCCTCTCTTTATATTACTGCTATTGTTGCCTTAGGGGTCATGGATCATTTAGAACCCAGCTCTGCCTTCATCCACACTTTTTCACCCTGTGCAGATAGAAAGGGGAACTGCCCATAACTCTGTTCTCTTGCGAGATCCTAAATTTGGAGAAAGGATATGGACGATCTTTGGGGATCCCCGAAGAATCTTTGAGAATGGAGGCGTCAAAGCAGAGCCTAGAGTGCAGCCCTCACCTGCGTCATCAGAACTCTGTTCCCAGTGTGATACATTGCGGTGCTGACAATCCCACGGTACATGATCACTGACACCAAAAAGATCATCACCACACAGAGCTATGGAGGAAGAGGAGGAACCAAGACACGAGAGAAGCATCAGGGATCATTTGGGACAGGGATCATACTCTCTCTTCACCCCACACCTTGATGGCAGTAGCCAGAGATGGTATTCAGTCGGTTATGGCGAACTGGAAATTTTGAGTAGTTTGGAGAACCAGCAAATATCACCTCTGGCTGGCCCCGCCCCCACCTATTTACTGCCTTCCGAAGCTGGGTCTTTGTTGTCCTGTACAGGAGAACGGAGCTGGAAAGCAGGTTAGTGGGGTGGGGAGGGAATGGGGATTTTGCAGTATCCTTCCCCCGGGAGTGGGTTGGGAATGAAGATTTTGCAGTATCCTTCCCCCAGAAATGAGTAGGGAAGGGGGATTTTGCAGTATCCTTTCCCTGGAATGGCGAGGGAAAGGAGATTTTGCAGTATCCTTTCCCTGGAGTGGAGAGGGAATGGGGATTTTGCAGTATCCTTCCCCTGGAGTGGGAGGGAATGGGGATTTTGCAGTATCCTTTCCCTGGAGTGGCAAGGGAATGGGGATTTTGCAGTATCCTTCCCCTGGAGTGGAGAGGGAATGGGGATTTTGCAGTATCCTTTCCTTGGAGTGGGGTGGGAATGGGGATTTTGCAGTATCCTTCCCCTGGAGTGGNTGGAACTACATTTCCCATAAGACAGTCTCTACCTGCATTTCCCATTAGGTAGTTTCTTAAAGGAGACAGTTCTTAATTCCTACACTAGCTATATATTGCTGGGGCAGCACAATACCCCATACCTGGGCACTTTCCATCACTTGTTCTGGAGAGGGTAATGTTCCCTCAGATAGAACGGGCACACAGCTGAAGGTCCCCATGGACCTTCTTGACTGTTGCTTGAAGAAGAGGTGATATCTGCGACTAGGAGGGCCTTTGCACAGATCCATCTTGTGCATCAATTGTGTCCCTTCTTAGATCCTTCTCATGATCATTTACACATCGGTCACCTCACAGTTGGATTAATGCAATCTACTGTGCGTGAGGCTATTCTTTTAGATCGGGGTATCAAACTCGCAGCCTGCAGGCCAGATGTGTCACATGCTGGCCACATCCATGCCCAGTTCAGCAAAGGGGGGGAAAGTCCTGATACGTCATGTCATGCCGCTATGACACCGTGAGTTTGACACCGTGAGTTTAGATCACTCATAAGGAGCAGCACAGATGGGCAAAAAGATACAGTCACCCCCTGCTACATGATCTGCCCTGGATCTCAGTACTCTTCCAAGTGCAATTCAAGGTATTTGTTATCACCTACCAAACTCTTCACTGGCCCAGTTATTTGCAGATTTTGGCCCATAAGATTAAACCAGGTGAGCAGGGTTCTGATCCCTTCTATTTAACCATGTTATCTTATTGGGATTTAGGAAAACGTGCCTTCTCGGACATGATACGTTTGCTGTGGAACAATGCACCTCTGAAATCTTGATGGCCCCCACCTCTGCTGTCCTTTCACAAGGCACCCAAGAGCTAGCTTTTAGCCTGGGCAGTGAGCCAGACTTTAAGTGAGCCTGTCTTTCCAGGGCTTGTTTAACCAATATGCGACTGCTCTTAGATGTGATGTACTTTTTAGATGCTTGCTCTGATATTTTTGTGTCGTTTTTTAATCCTGATGTCAGCTACCCAAAGTTGCCCTTATGAGTGAGGCAGACACATTCTTTGAACAAATAAACTAAAAAATAAAAATAGTAGGTCTCTCTTACTAGCCTAATGACTGTGCTGTTTATGTTACGTGCAGAATGTCCCCAGAGGCATCATATTTTATTTTTTAATAGCTATTTTTCTTTGCCTGCTCTACCTACTTTTTCACAGGGATCTTTGGTGTTTTTTCTTTTTTAAACAAATCTGTTGGTGCACCATTTCATAATTTTTCCAAGCAACTGGCTGGGGGGGAAAAAAATAACAAAATAGTACACTGATGAACTTGTTAAAAAAAGGAAAGCCGAGTGGAAAAATAAGTAGCTCTGGGAAAGAAAAATAATTTAAAACCCACCCAGTTTCAAACCAGGGATATTCTTTATGTAACGCAAATGCTACAATCGTTATGTTAGAACAGGTCATTCTCATTTAGCAACTGCCTGGAATAGTGATGGTTGACATTTACAGCGGTGATGAAAAAGTAACTTTGCCACAAATACTTGCATTTACAACTTTCGCAGATCTGTAAAACAGGGGAAAACTGAAATTAAATCATAACAACGGTCAGTTTCACTTGGCAACTATATCTCTTAACAACAGGGGTGAAATTCAGCAGGTTCTGACAGGTTCTGGAGAACCGGTAGCGGAAATTTTGAGTAATTGGGAGAACCAGCAAATACCGTCCGAGTGGGGAGGGAATGGAGATTTTGCAGTATCCTTCCTCTGGAGTGGGGAGGGAATGGGGATTTTGCAGTATCCTTCCCCTGGAGTGGGGTGGGAATGGAGATTTTGCAGTATCCTTCCCCTGGAGTGGAGAGATTTAACCAGTGGGTCCTAGGGTCCCCTTTGATATTGAATGGCCTGTTTTTTAAAAAAAAA